TCTTTGTTGACTATTATTCTTATTAATGTAAACCATTTATGTGTAATTACTTTATTAAGTAGGTTTACATAATTATCAGTTTGTACCGTGTTAGAATATTCAAGTATTTCAACTATTGGAGAAAACGGTGTGTTATAATTATTTATCATAGTGTCAAATTCTATTTCTTCATCTACAATGTCTTCTGGAGTATTTTGTAGATTAGAGGCTAACTCTAATATTTGTGTCCTACTTTTAAGGGTTATTAACTCATTTTTCACTTCAGATATTTCGTGTTTTAATTCAGCAATAGTTGATTCTTTCTGAATATTATTTTTATTATTAATTATTTTAAGTATTTCAGCAAGACTATAATCTTCTTGGGTTTTAATCAGAAGTGGAGATTTCTTTTTTTTTTAGCTATTTGTATGTATTGAGCCAGGGCTTCTTTCTTTGCCTCTCGATCTGCTATTTTATCTATTATTTCTATAATTAGGTTTTCTTTCTTAGTAACAATAGTACAAAAACAATCTTCCATTTTATCATCAGAATTAGAGCTGCTGAATATTAAATCCTCATCCTCTAATTCTCCTATGAGTGGTTCAGTATTTGAACTATTATCAGATTCTTCTTCTATTTGCAGGATTTGATATAATTGGGCCTTTATATCTTCTTCCACTTGTAAGGCATTTATTTTCTTTTTTATCTTACATTTGTTTTTATAATGCCCTACTTTTCCACAATTATAGCATACATGTATCATCTTTTTTCCTTTTACTTTTTTGAAACTAGTTTTAGGAGCAAATTTTTTAGTAAATTTTTCTTTACGGCTCCTTTTATAACTGGTTTTATATTTTTATTTTTATGTTTCCTTTTATCTGGTTTATTTGACATAGGTAGTGTATTATATCCGAATTGTTCACAAAAATCACCTAACTCTTTCTTGCCTGTCATTCTTTGTTTATCTAATTGTCTCTTTAGTTTAAGATCTGTACATAGGGCATGACCTTCCGCACGCACAAATTTTTGCGGATAATTCTCCTAAAGTATATAGAGAATATGAGATTATTCTTCCATGTTTATTTTTTATTCTGGTTTTAACTTTTTTTGCAAAGAGGTATGGTAACCCTGCAATGAACTTTTCTTTCCAATAGTCGGCGCTACTATCTTCTCTAGATAAGAGGCGGGAGAAGAATACATCCTTGTACCATTTATAGTGGGAAAGTGTAGGACATCTTAGATTAGATAATAGGTCTCCTGACCTAGCATCTAACAGGGAAGTACTTCCTACAAAATGGAGGGTTATTGTATATATGAGGATATTCACTGCATCGCTTTCAGTGTTGATTATATCTTGATTCTATTCATTTTTTAAAGTCCATTGTCTTGTGGCAGTCAGTATTTGTTGTTTGGTGGTTTCATCCATGTGAAAGTCCCACCATCCTCTCAACCATTCTGTAAAACCACAAACAATGGCTTTGGCCACTTCTTGGTCATGATTACTACTTACTTTACAGGCGGTTGTATACATTGTCATATGCTTCATTGTATCTAATATTTGATGTCAGACATACCATCTATATTCCAATTAACTATAGATCTTCCTGAATAAGATACAGTATTAGAAATTAAGTTTTCTTCAAATTGGATATCAACAGGCGTTGGTCTCGTATGGTACATCCTAGTTTGAGAAGTCACCCTGAATTTTTTTCATAATCTATTCTATTGATTGCAGGATTGTCTTATTTAAAGGCATCCTCCATTTCTTGGATTTCGTCAATGGTTGAACTTTCTTCTTGTAAGACCATTGCTTCAGATTCAACCACTCCTTTTCCCTTAAGATTTAGCTTGGCTAGCTTTTTGACTAATTCATCGATTAAATCCTTATGTTCTTCCTTTTTTTTTATTCCTTCCAAGCTAAATTTTCCTTTATTAATCTCTAGAGGAGGCTTAAATAGGACAGCCTTTGTGTCTTTATCAGTATTTTGGTTTTAAGCTTCTCTTGAGATTTATTGACCATATTTTCGATTCTAGTGGTTTGTTTTCCAATGGTTTGTAAACATAGGTTAGTACAGTTGTTTTGTTCAACTATATGTGGTATAGCATCAATCTTATGGGTATGATGGTCTGTTTCCTTTGGAACTATCTTATAAGGGAAAGCCTTTGTCTCAAGCTTTTCTTTGAGTGCCCCTTTTAACTTGAGACTCTCTTCTGGCGGGTCTATACTATATACTTCTTCACCTTCAGTAGTATAGTATGCTTTATATTAGTTTTCTAAGGTATTAAGACTAAAATCAGGAATGGGGATATCTTTTTCTTTTAAGACAGTCTTTAACCAATCAAAGAACCCTAATGTTTGTCTATTCTTTCTTATAAATTTATTAAAACTTTTATGAAAAGCATCTAACAGCTCCTTAGGAAATTCTGCCAAATATCAATCACGGATTTCTTTATTTTCTTAAGAAAGATAATCATTTTTAATTTCTTCCCAATCTAATTTTTCTTCTTTTTGAAGGGTGAGTACATTAAAGTCTAAATCCGAGGGTAAATGGTTCGTGCAGAGATGAACTTGGCTCATATAATTTATAAACAGGTTGTTGGATATTACTATTGGTCGGGTTAAGCCTTCTATTATAGGCCCTTGAGCTACTGATGAAATATGAGGTATGGATGAAGGTATGGTTGAAGTAGAATGCCTGGAAAGAATAGGTATTCTAGATGGAGTTCTTATGCGATCTTCTGAAAGATTAAGTCTTGTCCTTCTATTAGAATTAAATTGAATTTCAATTTCACCCTCCGAATATTCTATAATTTGGTTAGGCACAAGACTAACAGGGGTCCTGTATTGTTGATTTTCATTTTGTATAGACCAGTTTTTAGGGAGAATAATCTGTGACCAACTTATGGATTTAGGGATTACAGTATTGGATTTTTCCATGTTAGTTTGGAAAAATATTGTTTCTCCTTTGGTATCCATTTGTAAAACATTTGGACTCAAGGTATTCATTACCTTATAGCATATTCGACATATTAAAGCGATATTTTGAGATCAAGGGTTCATGTCAAACCCTTGGGTCTTAAGGTTTAAAGTAAGAACTTTAAGAAGATTAGGATCAGTTAATGATACTGCAAAGTTCGGAAAGCAGTTGAACTATATAGGTCCATTACATAGGCTCAACTCAACTACTCCTAATAATGAGTCAGAGAATTTATTATGACGGCTATCACGTAGACATAGTAGTATAAAATTATTCAGTCCTAAACGAGTTAGGGATTTCACTGCTACTTGAATTAGCCCTATAGGTAAATACTTGTATTCTTTGGACTTATGATTTTGTATCATATGATCAGATAAGAGTTGAAAACTCTCTTGTTCATTGTTAACAGATATGCTTTGTTCTACAGTCTTTATAGTATAGCTAGTTCTAAATTCAAACGTGCTTTTCTTATATATATCTATAATAGGAACCTTGGGTATGTTCCAATTCTGTATTTGTTTTTCAATGTTATCAATTATTATCTCTTCTTTATTTCTTATTCGTAGTGTACTGTTGGACGAAGATGTTGTTCTATTGGATAGAGTCCTAATAAAATTCATTGAGATAACATATAAGTACACGAGTCAATCGATTTATACCCTGTGCCTGTGCGGTGCTTCTTGGCCTTTGTCGGTAATACGGGTTACGACGACTTTGGTCTCAACTCTCAAACTTATCTCTAATGAAATAATTTTATTAAGCTTCGTCTTTCAGAACAGTACTTTTCTATAGTTCACCACTGTAATTTAACTGTGGCTCTGATACCAACTTGCACCCAAGATCTATTTTTCGAGCTTATATTGATTTAAATAGCATAGCTAGTTCTAAATTCAAAAGTGCCTTTCTTATATATATATCTGTAATAGGAACCTTGGGTATGTTCCAACCTAGAGAACGTTAGGTAAACGAAAAGGTGCACCAGGGAAGATACTGAGTGAGTGATTATTAGTAGTAGTAATATTCAGTTTCTCCTTGTTAGCTATGAGAATCTGACTATTACCTTAGCATGGTTTAGTAGATGATGGACTTGTGTGTACTCCAGTCATATGATTAGAGTTACCCGAGTCAAAAAACCAAAGGGGATTAACACTAAGGGATAGGTGAGAATTCATACCAGACAAACCCATAGCAAAGAAAGAAAAAGAGATAACTGTAAACACAGAGTTTTCTACCAATTGTCAAATATCATCTAACATAGTTGTTGTCTGGGACCCTGTTGTATTTGGGGCATGAATAGTCTTTGTTGGAGGGGTCTCTGACTTCGTATTTATTATTAATCCCTCTGGTGCATCATTAACAACATGGTATGTCCTGTAAAAAGGTTTTCTTATATCTGATACCGGTTGCGTCGCTGAGGACGAGCTTGACACTCCATTATAATATGCCCAGGACGTTCGCAATAATTACAATTTTGTTTCTTCTTATAATAAGAGGCTATATGACCATATTCCTTATAGTCATAAGATTGTAGTAAATATGAGTTTTATTATAATGGCTTCCCTCTAGCCTGTCGAGCCACAAAAGCAGACTCTATTTCCTGTTTTTTTCTCAATGGTGGCATGTGTTGCAATTCTCGTCTCCTCACGAAATAACTCACCCAAAATAGCATCCATATTAGGCAATGTTTCACGATTCAAAATATTGGCTTGAATGATTTCATATTTTGGATGCAATTTATCAAGAATTGCATCACCTTTCTATCATCATTTATCTCTTTTAAGCTTCTAAGGCAACAAGCACTGGTGATATTCGTCATACTTATAGATTCATATTTTGTCCACAAGTTCATAAAACCGGCATAGTATTTCTCAATGTTTTTCTCCCCCTGTCCATAGGTAAACATATCATACTTGGTTCGGAATCTCCTTGCAATATTTGATTGCTAATAAACACTTTCCATATATTCCCACATTTCTTTCGCAGTACGGAAACCTCTCATAGG